CGTATAGCTTTTTAGATGAAAGTTAGAAAGATGAAAAAATATATATATTTCTAAATATATCCAACAGCTCAGCAGCAAAGGATCTAATGAAGGAATTTGGGAAAGTCGTGATAGTCCGAGACCCGTTCGCCCGCATCGTCTCCGCGTACCTAGACAAGATCGCTACACGCTCCTTCGCCAAGTGAGTCGAGGAAAGCGGCTGTTAAAGGCTATTCCTGAAGTCTGATTGGAATTCCACATATGGGGAGTGTTGGCATGTTTCATCGGAGGTGTTGGGGAGTGAGGGGAAGGAGTAGGGATGGAGGGAAGGGTGAAAAAGAGGGAGAAGGGAGGGAGGGAGGGAGGGAGGGAGGAAAGAAGGAAGGGAGAGAGGGCGAGAGAGAGAGAGAGCGAGAGAGAGAGCGAGAGAGAGCGAGAGAGAGAGAGAGGGAGAGAGAGAGAGAGGGGGGGGGGAGACGAGAGAGACGATAGGTAGAAAAGTCGTATATCTAAACATGTAAAGCTCATGTAATCTGGCTCTCGAAAACAACAACCTTTTGCAGATAGATGCACTATCTACCCCCCACCCCCCACCCCACGACGGCTCTGATAACAAGAACAAAACCAAATCTATCAGACATCAACCGAAAAACTAACACACACACACGTCTCCCTCCCAGACTAAGTCGGTACATCATCAAAAACTACCGAGTGAGCCCGAGGAACAACGCCACCAGACAGCCGACTTTCGAAGAGTTCGTGAAGTTCCTGGTGGAGCACACGTCCTCCTCCGACAGCGTCTGGAAGAAGCTTGAGACCCGCACGGACCGGCACTGGTTCCCTTACTACGCCAACTGCTTCCCCTGCGACATCGACTATGACGTCATTGCCACTATGGAGACCATTCATGAGGATACACGGTAGGGGTTTTGCGATGCTGGTGGATAAGTATAAGGATGGTAAATATGACGGTAGTAGCAATGATGATGATAGAAAAAAATGCAATGTAATAGTTGTTGTAGTAGTAGCAGTAGTGATATACTAATAATGAAAGGACAATAGAGGCGGATTTATGACAAAAGCAGTCCAACAGATGTAATTTTGAAATGGATGTATTTTAGAGACAAAGTTGAGCCAGCTCTTGTTCAGCAGACCAAAGTTAGGCCAACTTTTGTTCAGCAATCCAAATTTAGGCCAGCTCTTGTTCAGCAAAATAAAATTGGTTCTGCTATAGTTTAAAGTCCAAAGTTGGTCTAATTATTGTACAGAGATCTAAATTAGGCCACCTTATCATATCAAAGTTGGATCATTTGTGAACTCAGTCACATAAACATCAACTTTATAACCCAGAAACAATTGGAATACTCATTAAACGTGTTCTCCTTACAGATATATAATGCAGAAATACAGACTTGGTCTTTCGGATACCATCTGGGGCAATCACAGATCTTCCACGTCTTCTGAGGAAAAAGCTCTTGCTCTCTTCAAGGTATTTTCAAAGTGCTGTGATTTCTGCCACGTTACTGTCCTAAAATGCGACTCATAATTCTTTAAAATAATGCACACAAGAGGACACACGTGCGTATACCCAACCACTCATATACATACAGGTGTGTGTGTGTGTGTACACACACACATATATATGGATACATAGGCGGCGGAAGCGGGGGGGGGGGGGGGGCAGAGGGGCGAGAGTATATCTCCGCCCCCCCCCCCCGAAATTGCTATACTATACTATTGCTATACTATATCTCATTTCACCAGAATGGGTATCACTCTTACAATAGACATGTTGGTTTCCATGAACTTGATTTATTAAAAGTATTGTATAGATATAGTGGAGTATAGTATAGTAAAGGACAGATTTTTCTGGGCTCATGAAAACACACACACACACACACACACACACACACACACACACACACACACACACACACACACACACACACACACACACACACACACACACACACACACATACACGCACGCACGCACGCACACACACAGATGACTATATTTACTGAAAATGAAAGTGAGACGACAGTTTCGGAATCCACCTGGATTCCATCCTCAGACCTGAGGATGGAATCCAGGGGAAATTCCGAAACTGTCGTCTCACTTTCATTTTCAATAAATCTAGTTTTTACATTGTGGGTTTTTCTACTACAGATGACTATATTCTTATTTATACAAGCCTGTAGCACATACTAACAACTGTTTCTCCCGCAGACCATTCCGCGCAGCCTGACCATGGCACTCTACCAGCGTAATCGTATAGATTTCCTTATGTTTGGTTATTCAGTTGAAAAATATTTATCCCCTCCCTCTGACGCTCTTCCTTAATCCTTAATTTTAAATAGAAACGGAATCTGTGCATTCTATACCTATAATTTATGTTTTATGTTATTGACGTCGCAGTATTTAAGAATGATTTGTAAATATGGCGTACGGGTGAATATGCAACTTCTTATGTATATAGCGAATGTGGACGAGACTATTGTGTGAAATATATAGATTAAGATAACAATGAGTCTTTTAATCTCATCATAAGACCAATGACCACCTCAGTCGCTGTTTTTATCGAGGAGACACACAATACCTATAATTACTGAAGAGAATGTATTAAGGAAAACAAATATATAGCAAACAGAGAACACATGACAATTAAAATACGTCACAGAAGAAAATAACACAAGAATATAGCAATTACTGTATAAAAAAATGACCAAATGACATTTTTTTTCTTGTACAGGTGTCTAATGCATGTAGGCCTATATTTCACCACTAATTTCGCCATGCCCACTTCCTATATCGTTTCTTTTCTTAAAAGACATCTCCCTTTGATCTTCGTTAAACGATTTGGTCGATTTTTTTTTCCTTTTTTGCTACATTGTTCACCACTGAGTAACCTTAAATAAAAATCTCTGAACGCCAAAGCGTTCATCGTACTTTTAATGAATCATACCACCTCAATGATGTACCTTTTGATCACACGGTTGGAATATGTTATGCAAATGAGCAACTAATACGATATTGCGCCAATAATAAAGAAGCTATTAATCTGGCAATAAATTCCAAAGAGATGGAGAGTGAGAGAGAGAGAGAGAGAGAGAGAGAGAGAGAGAGAGAGAGAGAGAGAGAGAGAGAGAGAGAGAGAGAGAGTAAATGAGAAAGTGAGAGTTTAACGACCTCTCCCCTCTACTTCCCCCTCGACTTCCCACGGTACCCAAGACCCTAGTGGTAATCGACTGTGCCAAGTTTGACCTGCGCCCAGAAAATAACGACAAAAGTGAAGTGCCCACAGAGCAAGCGATCCCGACCCTTACCGTCGAATATTTTATAACTACATGTTAATTTATATCTTGATTATACTCAAAATGTTTGTTAAAAAATCCTTATTCTCAATCACTATGTTTGTAATCATTATTATTGCTGATATTGTAGTTATCTGATGTTGACTATATAATTGTATTGTCTTATCCAGTGTCCCTGACCAGACCTATGACCACAAGACCCTTACCCTGTTGTAAACCAGAGAGCCTGTACTGACATTTCTCACGAAAGAACAATGTTGCCATATTCTTATGTTTAGTTAATATTTGTGAACCATTCGAAATCTCGGAGAGCCGAAATCACTCTGCCCTCAGCATCGGCTCAGGCAACACCTCAAGTTCCAGCTCTCTCTCGAGACCGCTCGCCTGCGGGCGTGGCACGAGGCCTCGCTCCTGCTTGGGCGACTCTGCCACGCCTGACCTCTGTATCCCACCTACCACGCTACCGCAGAATAAAGTATTGAAGCTGTATCAACTTTAACTATCAACTCCACGACACTTCACTCAAGACACAAACGGCAGTACCATACTAGAAAGAGAGAGAGGAAGTCCACAGTACACTACATAATTTGGTGGCATCACTCCGGGATCAAATCCACACAATATTACAGTGGTGGCAGCGGTGGGATCACTCTGGGATATCAAAACACTATTATTACAGTGTTGGCAGCGCACTGGGATTACGCACCCACGAGCCTCCGAAGAAAACGCAAGATATTCTATCAACTCCTGCAAGCGGAGACACCTTTGCCGACTTCATCTCAAGATACATCTGCGATTTCCCGACATCAAGCACGAAGCCAGTCTTCCCTGCCGAGCTGACATCGCTTCTCTCTGCGCACAGTACTTCAACACCTGTCGCAGTCTTCCACTTTTGCTGCAGTTGCCTGACGCCCGCAACTTCCATCAACACTGCCCCGCCAGTACCTCAAGGTGAGTTTCTTTATCCTCGCTGTTCTCATTTGTTTAGGAAATCCCCTGTGAAGTGAAGTGTCTGATTTGTTCTCGCTCTCGCAAACACCTGTGTTCCTCCCCTCATAGAAAACGAGACCTCCCCTCAGCTGACATTATGTCTCGCGGTCACTCTGCGCCTCCCCTCACCTTATTCGTGCCCTGCGGTTTGCCTAACCGTTTCTTTTTGTACTCTTATTCCCCTGTAGTTTGTTTACTTATGAGTACTAAATTTGTTCTCGTGTTAATTTAAGTTGTTGACGAATTACTGAATTTACACGAGGCTGAATTCCAGTTCATTCATAATGAACTATTTCACAGAAAAATCTTTCCTGCTTTTGTTTGTATGTTTTAAAATGAGTATATTCATAGGGAAAATCATTCCTGTTTTCTAGAATGGAATTTATCTTTGTCACTTCCCATCAATTCTGCACTTTCGCGTGCAACTGCTTCCATTACCCTGAAGGAAATATGTTCTAAGTATGGCCTATCTACCTACATTTTCATGGAAATATTTTTGTTCTGTATCTTTGCATATGAATCCTGCATATTATTTCGTGGAGAATCACTCTATATTATACATGGCTCTGTAAGATCATAATTTCTCGAGATTTTATCCTATAATTTAGATAATTTACTACTGCCTTCTGTCAATCAGGTGAATGTTGCAATTAACATTATTTTGAATCCCTGACACGTTGCTTCCAGTCATTTCCTAATCGTTTTGAGTTCGTGTTGATATTTTAACTCCCTGAGATATGGCATTACGTCTTCTGTCCCCAAGACATGGTACTGTTGTTCCCGTTTGTTGTCCTCAGAACCAGACGCCCCGTGCTGAAGCCCACTGCTGACCTTGACCCTCGGATCACCACGTCGTCCCCCAAGCCGCCAATCCCTGGCGCACCAAATCTCGCTCGCCCGTTAAAGAGCCCATCTCACGGACGTTCTCGCTCCCGCATCACCCGACGCCCTTTGTTCTCTACTGCACGTCGCTGCAACTTCGGCCGTGTCCGCCGCCTCGTCCGCTGGTGACTGCCGCCTGACGTCCTCGTCGCATCTCGTCTCGTCTCGTCTCGTATCGTATCGCCCGACGTCCTCGTCGCATATCGTCTCACTCACCACACCTGATGCCTGTGCTGGTGAACCTGGCAAGAGTGGTCCTGCCTTGCCTATCGGAACTCGTGACACCAACGCCCTGGTGCTCCTCCTCTCAAGAGATGACGAACCCTCCCCGCCAACGACGTGATCCTGATCCTCTCAAGACTTCGTTTTCAAGACTCCCTGCTCAGCACTCGTCTCCTCGCCATCAACTTGGTCCAGAATCTTCTAAACCGGTGTGTGTGTCATTTACGAATGACACGGCGCTTGACAAGTTAACTGCAACTTCCAGCGATCCTGTGGAACGAATGACGAGCTTCGTGACTGATCACCACTGCTGCTCCCGTCAAGACCACCTGCGCTTCGGAACAGTGACCTGTGCAAACAAGCTCCCTAGGCCCCCGACCTTAGAAGTGACCTATGTGACCTTCCCTCCTGCTCATCTTCAAGAACCGAGACTCCTCTCTTCGTCTTTAGGTCACCCTCTGCAGCAGGATCGAGGACGATCCTGATTAGGTGGCCGAGCGGTTTAACGACCTCTCCCCTCTACTTCCCCCTCGACTTCCCACGGTACCCAAGACCCTAGTGGTAATCGACTGTGCCAAGTTTGACCTGCGCCCAGAAAATAACGACAAAAGTGAAGTGCCCACAGAGCAAGCGATCCCGACCCTTACCGTCGAATATTTTATAACTACATGTTAATTTATATCTTGATTATACTCAAAATGTTTGTTAAAAAATCCTTATTCTCAATCACTATGTTTGTAATCATTATTATTGCTGATATTGTAGTTATCTGATGTTGACTATATAATTGTATTGTCTTATCCAGTGTCCCTGACCAGACCTATGACCACAAGACCCTTACCCTGTTGTAAACCAGAGAGCCTGTACTGACATTTCTCACGAAAGAACAATGTTGCCATATTCTTATGTTTAGTTAATATTTGTGAACCATTCGAAATCTCGGAGAGCCGAAATCACTCTGCCCTCAGCATCGGCTCAGGCAACACCTCAAGTTCCAGCTCTCTCTCGAGACCGCTCGCCTGCGGGCGTGGCACGAGGCCTCGCTCCTGCTTGGGCGACTCTGCCACGCCTGACCTCTGTATCCCACCTACCACGCTACCGCAGAATAAAGTATTGAAGCTGTATCAACTTTAACTATCAACTCCACGACACTTCACTCAAGACACAAACGGCAGTACCATACTAGAAAGAGAGAGAGGAAGTCCACAGTACACTACATAATTTGGTGGCATCACTCCGGGATCAAATCCACACAATATTACAGTGGTGGCAGCGGTGGGATCACTCTGGGATATCAAAACACTATTATTACAGTGTTGGCAGCGCACTGGGATTACGCACCCACGAGCCTCCGAAGAAAACGCAAGATATTCTATCAACTCCTGCAAGCGGAGACACCTTTGCCGACTTCATCTCAAGATACATCTGCGATTTCCCGACATCAAGCACGAAGCCAGTCTTCCCTGCCGAGCTGACATCGCTTCTCTCTGCGCACAGTACTTCAACACCTGTCGCAGTCTTCCACTTTTGCTGCAGTTGCCTGACGCCCGCAACTTCCATCAACACTGCCCCGCCAGTACCTCAAGGTGAGTTTCTTTATCCTCGCTGTTCTCATTTGTTTAGGAAATCCCCTGTGAAGTGAAGTGTCTGATTTGTTCTCGCTCTCGCAAACACCTGTGTTCCTCCCCTCATAGAAAACGAGACCTCCCCTCAGCTGACATTATGTCTCGCGGTCACTCTGCGCCTCCCCTCACCTTATTCGTGCCCTGCGGTTTGCCTAACCGTTTCTTTTTGTACTCTTATTCCCCTGTAGTTTGTTTACTTATGAGTACTAAATTTGTTCTCGTGTTAATTTAAGTTGTTGACGAATTACTGAATTTACACGAGGCTGAATTCCAGTTCATTCATAATGAACTATTTCACAGAAAAATCTTTCCTGCTTTTGTTTGTATGTTTTAAAATGAGTATATTCATAGGGAAAATCATTCCTGTTTTCTAGAATGGAATTTATCTTTGTCACTTCCCATCAATTCTGCACTTTCGCGTGCAACTGCTTCCATTACCCTGAAGGAAATATGTTCTAAGTATGGCCTATCTACCTACATTTTCATGG